GGACGTGTTTTTCCTCCTGCCACAATCTTGCAGCTAAGCACCCTTCTACAACTGTGGTTTGGCCAGCAGTAATAATTTGAGGCTGACTAGACTGCAGGGTGACAGTTGCAGTAAGGTCATTCGAACTCTGGGCATAGCGGTGTTGAAGGATCTTGTACACTGCTATATAACCAGAGACTGTAGGTTGAAATGACCCATCAGGATAAATACCAAAATGTTTGCTGTAAGCAACATCTAAGGTGTTTGTGCCAATGAGAATCAGATGTTGAGTTGGTTTATTATCAGGCACAACGAGAGCAAGTGTGTCGACTTCAACAGGTAAACCAAATAATTCAGGTGGAAAGGTCATGTTGATCTCTACATATCCCAGGTAAGGTACTGTTTGTCCATTTGCTCCTTCTATTTCCAACAGATTGTTTATTGGTTTGATTTCATGATCCCTGAGGTAAGTATTGTAGAAGGAGTAGGGTATAGTGGTAACCTGTGAGCCGGAATCAAGGAGGCAGTTGAACAGATCTCCTTTTATTTGAACTTGACCTGTGCTCTTTGTGCCGACAAGACCTCGTGGCAGTGTTCTTATTTTGCGTTCTTTGGGACTGTTCATATACACAGCTTCTGTGTGTCCCACTACAGAAGCTGTTTCTAGTTTAATGATTTTGAATTCTTGGCATCCCATGCTTGTTGCTTTTGGCGTAACAGTTTCTTTTTCTGCTCAACAAGACTGGGGTTTGCTTTATTTGTGCAGGAGGAGGAAACATGGCCGTCTTCTCCACACTTAAAACAGTACCAAGGCTTAGGCTTGGTTTTTAACTGAGGTGAAGAAGAGTAGGATTTGTTCTCTCTTGACATGTACTTGAATTCAGCTGGACTCTTCCTGGACAGAAGTTGAGACATTTGCTGCTGTAATTTCTGAAGTTGTTTTTTCATTTCTTTCAGCTCTTCATTGGATGTAGAATGTCCACAAGGACAGGCACTTTGGGACTGGATGTGAACTTTCTGTTTTGACGTTCCAATGTGCTTTTTCATAAGTGACTCTTTAGCATGTTGTCTATCTTCTTCTGTCCTCARTAACAACAACAAATCAGAAAAAGATGGTGGGTTATCTTTCTTTTGTTCCAACTGTAACTTGGTTATGACAGTGTTGTCCCARCACCCGCGACAAAATTGTTTCAGTAGATGTTTATTAATGTCAGCAGGTGAGATTCCTCCTTGCTTCACAACAGTGTTGAGAGTGAGCAGAAGTCTTTGAAGGTAAATGGACGGTCGTTCTCCTGGATTCTTCAAAATGTTTAAGTATTGTGCATACAATTCTTCACCGTCCTGCACTGTTCCAAAGGCAGAATCTAGTATATTTAGCAAAACTGTTGGAAATGTGTTGGGGCTCAAACCTTTGACCAAATCAGCTGCAGGTGATGACAGGCTCTCTGTGATTCGTCTGGTGACGTGTAGCGCAGAAAGACTAGGATCAGCAAGCAGAGACTCAATCTGGGAACGCCAGGACTCAAAATCAGCTTCATTACTCGGCTTAGGAAGCCTTCCTGAAAAAGTACGGAGACGAAGTGAGGTTGGACCAGTCAAATCAGTAYTTCGGACCACATGTTCAACAACAACCCGYTGTATTTGAGGTGGGTTGAGATCATTGGTGGACAGTGACAGTCCTGGAGCTGGTCCAGTTTGCTTTCGCCGAGGTCGTGCACCCTGGTCCGCGGAGGAATGAGCAGGAGGAAGTGAGGATAATGACCCAGATTCCAACACTGTTCGCAATGGCTGTGCAGCAATGAATTTATCCACTTCCTCTTCCGCTCCATCATCCTCCTTACCACCGTCATAGTCATCTTCATCATCATCTCCAAAATTTTCATCTGCTCCTGCTGCATGCAAATGTTGGCCTATCTGGCTCATTACTGTCTTCAAAACCTCTTCAAAGCGATGGCCGCTTTGATCAGCAATTTTCTTAAGTTCAGCGATGTAGTTGGGCTGATGGCTGCTACTGCTGTCCTCTGTGGCTGCGTGCTCGAGTGCCAAAGCAGTGACACGAAACACATGGTCAGTATTCGTTTGAGAGGTGTAAGTATAAGGTAGAAGCGGTTGTAACGCGGAAAAAGCAGCTAAGTCCGCAAACTCTACGATCAGGTTTTTAAAAAAWYTGCTTGAGGAATCAGTTACATAAAAAGGAAGATTAAGTTTACCAWACCTACTCAAGAAATCAAGTATTTCTTCATCGGCCTTGGTATTAGTAGCACCAGTAATCATCACAGACTGTGATGCATTTATACCAGAACGCGCAAGATCCATCATGTCTGTTATTTTATTTTTTTATTTCTTATTTATTTATTTTATTATTATTAATTTTATTATTACTTTTTTTTTTGAAAAGTTGTTTATTTTGAATATTTTACTCAAGATTTTCTATCCCCAAGACTGAAATTAATGTTCAAAATGATAACACATTAAATATTCACACACACAAGCTCCTGGCTAGCTCGCACAAGACATCCACCTGATCGGTTGCAGTACACTAAACCTGGCAAACCATTACTGAAGAGCATCCAGACTTTGCTCCATGGGTTAAGTTCTGCTT